TTGTGTCAATATTTGGATCAATTAATGGATCGACTAATGGATCAATTAATGGGTCATTTAATGGGTCAATTAATGGATCATCACGTAGCAGTACTTTACTAAGGAAACGTCAATTGAATCGATTTAGTTGGTTCGTTACAACTGGTGTCGAAGAATTTATCATAGGTGGTGGTCAATCACTACAAGGTGAAAATTTCGATGAAGAAGTAACTGAAACTGATAAGCATTATATACAAGTAAGAGTTATTCTTTAATCGACTGGATGTAATTAATTATGTCTTGACAAAGTGTACCTTTTTAAAAAACCAGGGTGGTCCGAGTTGGTTAGAGAAATCACCGAGCTTTAAAATTATGGTGCATAGTCCCGAAAAACGTGTTAAACTTGGAGGTGTTCAGGAGTATACTATCTTTCATGTAACGTCTATGGTAAGTCATTATTTTAATAATCGATTTCAATAATCGGTTTCAATTATTTGTTAATTAAAACAATGATTACAGTTCTCAGAAGGTGTTCAAATTACTGTTGAAAGGAGGTTTAGTCAATTTGAGTGGTTGTATAACCGTTTAGCAAATAAATTTGGCGCATTTGTGTTGTCTCCTCTTCCCGAAAAGCAATATTCTGGTAAGATTCTCGCATTATAAATTATATAATTACATTTATTAAAATCGTTCAGTTTTTAAATGTACATTTAAATTATATACTTAGGGCGTTTTAATGAGGAATTTATAGAAAAGCGTCGTCGTGCTTTGGAAAGATTTATTAATCGGTTGGCCCGTCATCCAATAATTCGATATTCTGAGATTCTGACGCATTTTCTTAGTTGCAATGATGATTCGGTACATTTGAAGATAATATTTTATATATCTATCATGTATAATTGATTTTTTTTTCTTTTTTTTTAAAAAAAAAGGAATGGCGTAAACGAGAAAAGCAGTTTGAAAATGATAAACTTGTTGGTCATGCATTTTTTCAACACGTTTACCACCCAGAGTTCAATGTTGATGATGGGTATGAATCATAAAGTTTAGTGTGAAAATTTGTATCATTTATATTTATCTTACTCTTCGATCATAGAGAAATAGATACCATAGAGCGATTTGAATCACATGCCCGAGCTATGGAAAAACTGATGCCATGGATCAATGAGGCATCACAAGCCCATAAAGATTCTCTAGAAGGTGTTTATTTATTATATTCGACTTATTACACGCATCTTCTTTAACTTTATCAAATTTTATTAAAAATTATAGAAATGCAACGTCAGTACCGTAGAGTTAACTACGCATTACTTAGGCTCATTACAGGCCATGATGCTTGTGAAAGTAATGATTCAATTAATGATGAAGGCGCATGGTGTTGGAGGGATGGATGTAAAGGTGAGAATCACAAATTCAATTACATTAGCTTTTTGAATACAATTATTAATCTTCTAATATGTTTATATAGCTTGTCTTAGTCTTACTAAAGCACTCCAATCCACCGTTGAAAGCATGCAGGCAATTGCAGATATGTATAAATCACATGTATGCACAAAATTTTAATTTCATTAATGAATTAATATCTTCCTGTTTATATAACTAATGATTATGATTCATTAGATAAATGACACGTGCATTCCATGGATTGAGAATTTTAATGAGTATAGTTT